CCCCACCACCACCGTTCCCACCACTGTCCCAGTATCCCCACCATTGTCCAACTGTCCCGAGAAGCGGGAATCGTTTGCCGGCGGCGACGGCGGGGGGGTTCGAACCGGTAGTGACCCCCCAGGTTTTCGAGGGGGGGGGTTCGAACCGGTAGTGACCCCCCCTTTTCATGATGGACTGGGGAGGGGGAAGGGGTTCGAACCGGTAGTGACCCCTCCCCCGGTTTTTGAGGGGGGGGGGGACGGGTTGGGAACCCCCAGTGACCCCACCCGGTTTTCCGCCAGCAGCGGTAGAACACGCTCTTTCCGATGTGCATGTATGTCGGAACTGGATTAGCAATCCACATTGGATGTCGGATGTATTAGGACTTGCTTTCAGGCATCATTTCGGACCTGGATTTCCAGCGGTATGCCAACTTGCACCTGTATTGTAATTCGATTCGCGGTTCGATGTGCATACCGATTAATGATGGTGTGCATGTCCATTGTCATGTCGATCGTTCTTTTCGTGTGTGCATTGATTTGTATTTCGATGTTCGTTTCACATTGTACTTACTCTGCCCACTCTTTGCATTGCTGCCTGAGCGAAAGTTGTGTAAACGCGTGGGAGACATGCAATGGAAGTGTTCGAGGCACCGTGTCACACGACAATTCGCAAGACCACGGGGAGGATGAAGAGGAGGGAGAATGGGAGAAAAAGGAGGAGGACAGTGAGAAGGGACATATAGAGAGGGATGGGAAGGAGGCGGGAGAAGATGGAGAATGACGACAATGAGGCGTAAGGGGAGGGGGAGGGAAAGGATGGGGTGAAGAAGTGAAGAAGCTTCAGGGCACCAGCGCATATCCAGGATCCGGGTCACTGCGGAACCTAAAAATATAGTCTCGCGCGATGCGAACGACAATTGTGACAGGCTCCTTTGATCCTGCCACACGCACCAAATCTACCTAAGCCTACGAAGGCACACTCCAGCCGCTTCCGGGGGAGATCGCCAAAGCCCAAGGAAGCTGCAGATCAAGCTACCAAGACACGCCATAAAATCGTGCACTGTCTGGCCGCTGGGCGCGTTGAATCTGGCCACCGCTCAGGTTTCACTTGAAGGGGCAGTCTGGGAATTCCAGGCTCCACTTCATGCTGCGACTTAGAAAAACACATGAAAAAATCGAGGGCTGGGTCCGGCAACAACTTGTAAGCATACGGGCTGGAGAAGAAGGTGCGAGGCGGAGGAGGGGGGTGGAGGAGGAGGAGGACCAGGCGTTTATGAGAAAAACAAAGGAGGAGAAGGAGGAGGAGGACGCGGAGGAGGAGGGGGAGGAGGAGGAGGAGGAGGAGGAGGAGGGCAAGGGGCAGGAGGAGGAGAAGGAGGAGGAGGAGGAAGAGAAGGTGGAACAACTTTGGCAGAAGGTGCAAACACTGGCCTGCCTTTCTGTAACCAAGCCTAATATGAGGCACATTCAATGTGCGTCGAGGCCACAGGCGCGGTGCTGCAACAGAGCGTTAATGAATTCTATATGAACCTGGCGGTTCTAGCAACAGCAGGTTAGGATCGTGTCCGCCACCCGGCACCCTGGCACGCTGAGGCGTGGTAGTAAAACGAGGCCAGGACGAGGACAACTTCGGGTGAGGACGAAGCAAGAATCTCTGCGATCCCGCGTCTCTGGAAGATGTCTCGGGCGCCGCGACCTTCTCAGAGCGCTCCGGAACGCCCTGAGAGCATCCCAGAACGCTCTGGAACGGATGTATATCCTCTTCCTGGCCCTGTCCGAAGTAGTGTGCCAAGTGCTGTCGTGCTGTCTGGCCTCCTCCTCCTCCTCCTCTTCCTCCTCCTCTTCCTCCTCCTCTTCCTCCTCCTCCTCCTCCCCCTCCTCCTCCTCCTCCTCTCCTCCTCCTCCTTCTGCTCCTCCTCCTCATCATCATCCATCCTTCTGGTCCTCCCCCCCTCCCGTCCCTCCCATCCTCCTCTCCCTCTCCTCCTCCGCCCTCCCCCTCCCCACTCCGCTTCGCCTCCTCCTTGGGGTTTCCCAGGGCTTCTGTACGAAATCCTACCCCGTCTCGAGGGTTTTTCTCCAGGGGCGCGCCGACGGCCCCTCTCATCCCCATCATCCCTCCCCTCCCATCCTCCTCCCCTCCCCTACCCTCCCCCTCCCCTCCCATCCGTACTCCCTTCCCATCCCCTCCCATTCCCCTCCCCTCCCTCCCCGCACCTGCCCCTTCTTCTTCCTCCTCTCCTCCTCTCCTCTCCCCTCCTTCCCCTCTCTTCCCCCTCCTCAAGGAGATGCCCAGGATGGCTTCCGAGACGACCCAAGCAGGCCGCGCAGGCCGAGGTGCCCCAAAATGCCTCGAAGACTGTGCGAGGTGGCCCCCGAGCCGGCGCAAGAGGGCTCCAAGAAGGACCTCCAGGAGAGCCCGAGGATGCCAGAGGGTTGACTTGCTTCATATGCGTGTCAATGCTCTTGAGGGTTCTCGCCTCCTCGGTCTTCCGTCAGCACACGACGACCCAATAAGCCCTCAGGATGCCCCCAAAACGGCCAAAGAGGCTCTCAAGATGGCCCTAGCGGCCTTCCAATACGGACCAATAGAACCCTCAAACGACCATCTAGGACAACAAGAGGGCACCAAGACGCCCCAGAGAGGTCTTAAGAGGAATGGACTCCGAAGGCGCCTGACTGCCTAAGACCGCCCCGAATCAGCCCAAGGGGGCCCCAAGATGCCCGGCTATAGGACTCCAAGACGCCCCTATAAAGGCCTCCAAGAGGCCCCAGAGAGGCCCCAATAGAGAGTAAGGAGCTCAACGAGGTCCCCAAGGTGCCCCGCTGGACCTCGAAGACGCCCTCGAAGAGGCCTCCACGAGGCTCAGAAGAGGCCCCACTAGAGGGGGAGGAAGAGGAAAGATGAACATCGAAAACGTTCACGACGAGGGACACCGCAGAACGACGCGGAAGAGCGAGTCATATGTTACGGCCTCCCCAAACCCTCCAGACACGAGCCCCCCTGCACTCTTCGAACGGGCGCCACCTTGCGTGCCGGGCTGGCACGGTGGCGGGGCTTGTCCCAGGCAGCTGGGTAACTATTTACCAACCCTGGCCAAGCCCATCCTAAGCCCTCCCTGTGCCTGGAGGGTCTTCATCCGGAGGTCAAAAATGGGTGTGGCACAAAGGGGTGGGGTGCCAATCGTGGAAATGGCGATGTCATCTGCGATGCTTACATCGGCAGACTCAGTATTAGCACCACACCCCGTTGCACCACACCCTGTTTCTACCTCCAGCTTACCATCATCGGCTACACGCAAGAGCTTAGCTGCCCCGATACGCAACACGCAGCACGTATAGCGTATTGAGACGGAGCTCAACACGTACACTGAAAACGCAGGTCTGACACGCGATGCGCTCGCCAAGCCGTGGGCCCACACGCTGAGCCCACACGCAACGCATGGACACGCACGGCTTGAGCACGGCACGTGCTGCGTATCAAGACGGGCGCACCGAGGCAGCTGAGCGCCAGGAGTGGCCCCGGGCAAAGAGGGACCTCGTGTGCGTGGCCTTCGGGGAGTCGCGCGGGGGGGGGAGGCGCCAAACCCCAGCGCGTCAGACGCTGCCGTCGCATCGCGCTCGGCGAACGGGCGACCCCAACGGGCCCGCCGTCAGGGCCACTCCGGCGAGGGGTCACTCTTACGAGCGCCCATCGGTCGGAAGAAGCAGGTAGAAGCATGAAGCGGGAAGGCGGTGCGAGTGGAGTGGCGTCCGTCCGCCCCCTCAGGAGGACGGAGAAGGTGAAGCCACTCGATCCTCGAAGCAGGCAGGCGTCGAAAGGAGACTGGGATCCGGAAATCCAGAGATGCCTACTTTCAACGACCGCTGGGCAGGAGACATCAGGCCCAGCACCCGAGATGAGCCCGGCCAGGATTGGTGCTGGACTTACGTCGGGCGTGTCCCCCTGCAGAAGGATTTTCAACGAAGAATAACAAATACCCCGAAAATAATCCAAATCCAAAAATAGTCCAACATAGTCTGGGGACGACTTTTGACTATTTCTACCATTTTGGAATATTTTTGTGGTATTTTTTAGTTCTCGTCGAACATCCCCCTGTAGGGGGACAGGCCCGACCTGATGCTGGACGTCCCCTTCTGGGCAGCTGCCTCGGCCCGGCGCCCCCACGCAGTCCACAACGGGAGAGTGTGCGGGCGCGCCTGCCGAGGCCCTGCCGCTGCCCCGCGCGCCGCGGGCCCCCCCTCGGGGGCCCTAGCAGGCCTCCCGCAGCCTGCTGCGCACCTCGCGCGTGAGCCACTCGAGACCTTCGGCGGTGCCTGCGGAGGAGACCACAGCTTAGGGCGACGAGATCTATGCATATCCACTGCTCCTGGCCAGGCCCATCCTGGGCCCAGGAGATGTGTATATGCCTCCCTGGCCAGGCCAGGAGGGCGTATACACCGCTCCTGGGCCCAGGATTGGCCTGGCCAGGAGCAGTGGATATGCGTAGATCTCGTCGCCCTACAGCTGGCACCGATGCTGCTGCTTCCCCCGGACCTCTCCCGGGGTCCCAGGCAGGCGACGCGTCCTGCTTTTAATGTTCCAGGGCGGGGCCCCTGGAAGCCCCGACCCTCTTTGCCACGGGACCGAGGCTTCATCCCGAGTCGATTTTTTGTGGAGGGTCTGGGGGGCCGGTATAGGCCGGAAACGGCCCTTGAAACCTCCCGTCGTGTTTTTTGCTTGTTTTTTCACGGCGCGAGCACGTCCGGGGGTGCCTCCCGACCGAAGCTTCGGGGCGGCTCCGGCCGTGGCGACGAGGGCCTTCTCCAGGCGGCTGGGGGCAAAGGGTGTCGGTGCCCCTGTTCCCCGCGGAGGGCCGGCTCCGCGCGTGGCAGTGGCCTCCTGGACGAACCAGGACGTGCTCCGCAGGCTGTGCAGCGCGAGGCGCTCGGCCACCTCGGAGGCGGCCAGGGCCTGCGGCGCGTCCTGCTTGTTCGCGTAGACCAGCACGGTCGCCTCCTGCATCTGCTCCTCCCTCGTGGGCATCGCGTGCGATCCCCGTCCCCACTGGCGTGGCCTTGGCCCCACTGGCCGATTTAACCTCCCTTGATGGGGATGTAGGCTGTTCCCTTCGGGTTAGGGGCCTACAGTGGAGGCCAGTCCACAACTCACAAGAAACATTTCACAAGAAACCCAACCCTGAGACCCCAGGACGTTAATTGATTTTTGGTGTAGGATCGTCCGCTTTCCATGGCAAAACCATCGAAACCCAAGAAACCCAAGAAACCCTGGAGGCAAGCAGGGCGTTTCTTGGCATTGGTCTCCACTGTATAGGCTGTTCCCTTCGGGTCTCGAGGCGCCTATCCCCAACTGGGAGGGTGGGATGCTGGGGCCGAGATGCCATGGCGTGGTGGGGATGGGGATCGGTTACACGATGCTGACCTCAGGAGGTTGTGCAGCTCCTCACGGGCCTCCTCCATCCGCTCGTGGTCGGTGCTGTCCACGACGAAGATGATGCCGACCGCGCCCGTGGAGAAGTGGCGCCACGACCTCCGGATCTTGGACTGGCCGCCGACGTCCCAGATCTTCATGTTCAGGCTCCCACGGGAGAAGGTCTCGACGTTGAAGCCTATCGTCGGCATCGTCGTGACCGCCTGGCCCAGCTTCAGGCTGTACAGGATGGATGTCTTTCCAGCAGCGTCGAGGCCCACCATGACAATCGACACCTCCTCGGGCACCGACACGCACACCGACGTCAGCGCGCCGCCCATCGGAAGACAGCGGGGGCCCTCCTGTTCGGGGCTGTCGGGTCGGCGCGCCCTTTTGCAGCGCAGGGGGCACGGCAGCACAAATCAACCTACACTAGCGCCTGATGGCCACGGGGGGCGACAGGGAGGAAGAGAACCGTGCTGGGAGAAAGTGTGACGAGGAAGGAGCAGGAGGGAGGGGCCGAAGAAGAGGAGGATCACGGTTGCAGAGGCGGAGGGGCTTAAGGAATACAATATTGGATTGACGAGAGGTTGTCTGGTAATAAGTGTGAAAGTGGGAGTACGCACGGGGAGGGGTGTGAAGGGTGGGGGAGTGGACAGTGAGACGGGGAGAGAGAGAGAGAGAGGGAACAAAAATAGTGAGAACGAGGGAGAAAGACAGAGAGAGAGAGAGAAAACAAAAAAAGAAAGAAAGAAGGAAGAACGAGAGAGAGAGAGAGAGTGAGAGAGAGAGTGGAATAGAGAGAGTGAGAGAGAGAGAGAGAGAGCGAGGGGGAGAACTCAAGCTACTCCGTATCCCGTAATAAACAGACCCCCCTAAAAACCCGCCCCCCCTGTTTCGGTTAAATATTACTCCGCCCCCCCCCCATCCATGGGAGGCGCCTTAATATTCCAGCCCCCCCTCCAGGAAAATCCAGAATTTCCAATTGTGATGGTGGAACTGATTGGGCCGCGGTTGCGCGATGATGAAGGCGTTGGTGATCAGAGCATTATCGCTTGAGATATCGGCAACAACTGCGATCAATATAGCGAACACGATGATCGCGAAAACGATGGAACGATGGTGTGGTACAGGCGCCATCTATAATGGTAGCGTTTGCGGTTGCGGCCCCAGTGCGCCGATTTGCTGAGTGTCGCATCACAGGTAACCTATGAACAATTACAGTTTGTCGCGTTGGGCACAAGCAAATTCTAGATCACAGCATGCGCGGTGATGGTGGCGCGTTGAATAATACATGTCCATGCCAAAATGGCGATACAAAATGCGCCTTAATAACCCGTCCGGCCTTAGCTTCGGTCACGCGGAACCGCCTAAGTAAACAGCCCCCCTCATCTTCAGAAAAAAACGCTTTAATAACCCCCCGGGGCCGTTTATGAAGGGATATGGAATAATGGCGCTCGCGCGTCATATGGATACTGCTGATTTTGTCTTTCTCCGCGGACGCGTGGCATAACCGACCTGCAACTCCACCAAAAAACATCGTTGTATGCGCAATCCGAAACAAGGGCTGCGTACGCATCCGAAAATGAAGCCCACGCTGCAGCGGGAACACCATTTTGAAGCACCGAACACAATCGTGTCGTCAGAGTGAAGTGGCCGAACGGTCATTCACTGTCCATGGGCGCGTGGCTGAGGTGGAATTCCGCGGCGCTAATTGATGTTATTGTTGGTGTTGTTGCTGTTGATGTTGTTGCTCTTGGTGTTGTTGCGATTGTTGTTGTTATTGTTGTTGGTGGTGTTGTGTGTTGTTGGGTTATCATCGCCCCTCTCGGTACCGATACCTTTTGTAACGTTTGCAACCGGTTCAATTGAAATGCACCCCCGGGCTCGCATCCTGTTTCTTCCCGCATCCAAAATGGGATTCTTGTTTTCTCTATACACCACGCGCAGGAACAAGAGAACACCCACCTACCCGCCCACGCACTCACTCACTCACACTCTCATCATCATCCTCGTAATCATCATCAGCACCATCGTCATCATCATCACTATCAGCATCACCACCTTCACTCACTCATTCATTCACTCACTCACTCATCTCAGTCGGGAGCTTCGTCTGTTAGTGAATTGCGAGGAGGTCTCAGTCGGGAGGACCCTCCCTATGGGGCCCGCAGATCATATTACTAATCCGAGAGGATCACCGGAATCCTGTAAATGTCGTCACTTCTGGCCTCCTCAAGCTTGAGTATGGAGGAAGTCTCAGGAGGGAGCCTCGTCTGTGAGTGAATTGCAAAGAAATTTCAGGTGGGGCCCCCTCCCTATGGGGCCCGCAGATCATATTGCGAATCCGAGCGGATCACCGGAATCCTGTAAATGTCGTCACTTCTGGCCTCCTGAGGCCTGAATATGGTGGAGTATAAGGCGGGGTTGTCCCAACGGCTGCGTGATACGGCCAATAGGGGCCATCGGTGGAGCTCCTTATGGGGCCGCGAGACGTGTGAGGGGTCTGCCGAAATAGGTGTGGGGGTCGCATGTGGACGGTGACTCTGGGGCATTCGGTGGAGCTCCCTATTGGGCCACGACACGAATGAGGGGGGTGCCGCAATGTGTGCGGGGGACACATGTGGACGGTGGCACTGGGGCCTTCGGTGGAGCTCCCTATGTGGCCACAAACCGTTTGAACGGTGTGCCGAAATGGGTGTGGGGAGCGCATGTGAGTGGCGGCACTGGGGCCTTCGGTGGACCTCCTTTTTGGGGCCACGAAACGTGTGAGCGGTGTGCCGAAATGGGTGCGGGGGACGCATGTGGACGGTGGCACTGGGGCCTTCGGTGGAGCTCCCTATGGAGTCACGAAACATGTGAGGGGTGTGCCGAAAAAAGGGTGCGGGGGACGCATGTGGACGGTGGCACTGGGGCCTTCGGTGGAGCTCCCTGTGGGGCCACGAAACATGTGAGGGGTGTGCAGACATGGGTGTGGGGGACGCATGTGGACGGGATCACTGGGGCCTTTGGTGGATCTCCCTATGGGGCCACGAAGCGTGTGAGGGGTGTGCCGCAATGGGTGCGGGGGACGCATGTTGACGGTGGCACTGGGGCCTTCGGTGGAGCTCCCTATGGGGCCACGAAGCAGGTGAAGGCTGTGCCGGAATGTGTGCTGGGGGATGCATGTGGACGGTGGCACTGGGGCCTTCGGTGGAGCTCCCTATGGGGCGACGAGACTTGTGAGGGGTCTGCTGAAATAGGTGTGGGGGGCGCATGTGGTCGGTGGCACTGGGGCATTCGGTGGAGCTCCCTATGGGGCCACGACACGAATGAGGGGGGTGCCGCAATGCGTGCGGGGGACACATGTGGACGGTGGCACTGGGGCCTTCGGTGGAGCTCCTTTTGGGGCCACGAAACGTGTGAGGGGGATGCCGACATGGGTGTCGGGGGCACTGGAGCCTTCGGTGAAGCTTCCTATGGGGTGACGTAACGTGTAAGGGGCGTGCTGACATGGGTGCGGGGGACGCATGTGGACGCACTGGGGCCTTCGGTGAAGCTCCCTATGGGGCCACGAACCGTTTGGAAGGTGTGCCGAAAAGGGTGTGGGGGACGCATGTGGGTGGCGGCACTGGGGCCTTCGGTGGAGCTCCCTATGGGGCCACGAAGCGTGTGAGGGGGGTGCCGAAATGGGTGCGGGGGACGCATGTGGACGGTGGCACTGGGGCCTTCGGTGGAGCTCCCTCCACGAAACATGTGAGGGGTGTGCCGACAAGAGTGTCGGAGACGCACGCGGGAGGTGGCACTGGAGCCTTCGGTGGAGCTCCCTATGGGGTCAGGAAACAAGTGAGGGGGTGCCGACATGGGTGCGGGGGACACATGTGGACGGTGTCACTGGGGCCTTCGGTGAAGCTCTCTATGGGGCCACGCAGCGTGTGAGGGGTGTGCCGACATGGGTGTGAGGGACGCATGTGGACGGTGGCACTGGGGCCTTCGGTGGAGCTCCCTATGTGGCCACGAACCCTTTGAAGGGTGTGCCGAAATGGGTGTGGGGGACGCATGTGAATGGCGGCACTGGGGCCTTCGGTGGAGCTCCCTATGTGGCCACGAAACGTGTGAGCGGTGTGCCGAAATGGGTGCGGGGGACGCATGTGGACGGTGGCACTGGGGCCTTCGGTGGAGCTCCCTATGGGGGCCACGAAACATGTGAGGGGTGTGCCGAAAAGGGTGCGGGGAACGCATGTGGTCGGTGTCACTGGGGCCTTCGGTGGAGTTCCCTATGGGGCCACGCAACGTGTGAGAGGTGTGCCGCAATGGGTGCGGGGGGCGCATGTGGACGGTGACACTGGGGCCTTCGGTGGAGCTCTCTATGTGGCCACGACACGTACGTGTGAAGGCTGTGCCGAAATGGGTGCTGGGGGACGCATTTGGACGGTGGCACTGGGGCCTTCGGTGGAGCTCCCTATGTGGCCACGAAGCGTGTGAGGGGTGTGCCGAAATAGCCCGTGGACGGTGGCACGGGGGCCTTCGGTGGAGCTCCCTAGTGGGCCACGAAACGAATGAGGGGGGTGCCGCAATGTGTGCGGGGGACGCATGTGGACGCTGGCACCGGGGCCTTCGGTGGAGCTCCGCATGGGGCCACGAAGCGTGTGAGGGGGATGCCGACATGGGTGTGGGGGGCACTGGGGCCTTCGGTGGAGCCCCCTATGAGGCCACGAAGCGTGTGAGGGGGGTGCTGAGATGGGTGTGGGGGACGCATGTGGACGGTGGCACTGGGGCCTTCGGAGGAGCTCCCTATGTGGCCACGAAGCGTGTGAGGGGTGTGCCGAAAAGAGTGTGGGGGACGCATGTGGACGGTGGCACTGGGGCCTTCGGTGGAGCTCCCTATGGGGCCACGAAACAAGTGAGGGGTGTGCCGAAAAGGGTGCGGGGGACGCATGTGGACGGTGGCGCTGGGGCCTTAGGTGGATCTCCCTATGGGGCCACGAAGCGTGTGAGGGGTGTGCCGAAATGGGTGTGGGGGACGCATGTGGACGGTGGCACTGAAGCTTCGGTGGAGCTCCCTATGGGGCCACGAGACATGTGAGGGATGTGCCGACATGGGTGTGGCGGACGCATGTGGACGGTGGCACTGGGGCCTTCGGTGGAGCCCCCCATGGGGCCACGAAGCGTGTGAGGGGCGGGCCGAAATGGGTGTCGATGATACTGATGATAACGGCGATGATGATGGCGATGATGGTGATGACGACGATGATGCTGATGATGCTGCTGATGATCATGATGCTGATGCTGATGCTGATGCTGATGCTGATGATGATGATGATGATAATGATGATAATGGTGATAATGATGATGATGATGATGATGATGATGATGATGATGATGATGATGATGATGATGATGATGATGATGATGATGATGATGATGGTGGTGATGATGATGATGACGATGATGATGATGATGAGAAGAGGGAGGAGGGAGGAGGGGAGGAAAGAAGGAAGGAAGGA